TAATTCTGGACTCTATGCCTGTGACTATAATGTCATTTTAAGGGCATTCGCTACTGGACTGGTGGACAGGATCACTGTTGTTAGGTGCCACTTCCATCCTCACCATTGTCCGAATGTTTGGATCTATTGTTGCAGCCACTGTGTCAAGCCATCTTGTCAAAGCCTTCCTCTTTATCGCTGCCCCTCTACTTTGCCAAGCGTGATAAAGTCCCTTTTCTAGGAACAGGGCTTTCCTGATACCATGTCCAAAGTAGGTGAGATGAAGCCTTCCCATCCTTGCCTCTTTTTCCCAAGACAGATTTTTTTGTTGTTCTTTTTACAGTCTGCAGTACAGTGAACCCTCGTTTATCGCGGTTAATCGGTTCTAGACCCTACCGTGATAAATGAAATTCCGCGAAGTAGGATTCCTTATTTGTAAATCAAATATTTTCATAGAGCATAGAGGACATGAAAAAACACCCTTTAGTCACATTACATTCATATTACCCAATTTATTAAACAAAAAAGGGAAAATACAGTAAAACATTTTGGACGTTACAATTATCATTTCTTATTTATTATATTATTTATTGCATCAAGCGTGTACAGTATGAGCCAATCAGTGGCAGTAATGACAGAGCATGCGCTGTTACGCAAAAACTGCGATAGAGTGAAGCCGTGGAAGTCGAAGCGTGAAGTGGCGAGGGTTCACTGTACTTTCAATATTCTTCACAAGTGCCGTAATTCAAATATATTGATTTTTCTTCCATCTTCTTTCTTCAGTGTCCAACTTTCACATGTACATGAGGCAATGAAAATATGGCTTGGGTCAGGCACACCTTAATCCTCAAGTAACTTCCTTGCTTTAAACACTTTAAAGAGGCCTTGTGCAGCAGATTCACTCAATGCTCTGTGACATTGGATCTCTTGACTGCTGCTTCCATGGGCATTGATTGTGTATCCAAGCTAGGTGAAATCCTTAACAACTTCAGTCTTTTCTCCGGTTAGCCTTTTGATCCAGTTGCGATGCTATTGATTGTCTTTACATTGAGTTGTAATCCATACTAAAGGCCGCAATCCTCGATCTTCATCAGCAAGTGCTTCAAGTCTTTCTCAGTTTCACCAAGCAAGTTTGTGTCATCCGCATATTACAGCTTGAGAATCAGTCTTCCTGCTGTGTGGGTGCCACATTCTTTATGTATTGTAACATAACAGTTTGAGGAAGTATGGTAAGAGGATGCAACCATGACGCATACCTTTCCTGATTTTAAACCATGCAGTATCCCTACATGATTTTTGTTGGCACAACTGCCTCTTGATCCATGTACAAGTTCTGTACAATCCATATACAATGAAGATTTCTGGAGTTCCCATTCTTCTCAAGGCTATCTGTAGTTTGTTATGATCCACAAAATCCTGTTCTTTTGCATATTCAACAAAACACAAGTAAACATCTTTCTGGTATTCTTAGCTTTGATCCAAGATTCATCTGACATAAGCAATGATATCGCTTGTTCCACATCCTCTTCTAAACCTGCCCGATCCTCTGGCAGGTTGTTGTCATAGAGTGCTGCAACCTTTGTTGGATGATCTTCAGAAAAATTTTACTTGTGATGCCAATTATATTGTACTCTGATTTGTGCATTCTGTTGGACAAGATTAAGGTGGGATTAAGACCTGACTTTAGTAGAGGGTGTGAACTAAGTCACACCTTGTTTCCTTGATGGCACCTAGAGGGTATGACACCAAACGTTGTTTTCTTTGGATAAGGTGTATTTGCTGCGACAGTCCTGGTAAGACTGTCAGGTGATGAACTGCTAACCTCAAAGTTGGCATTTCAAATTCATGAGCCACACCCCAGGAGAAAGATGAGGCTGCTTGCTCCCATAAAGGTTTACAACCAGGAAAACCTTATGTAGTGTCACTATGACTTCTGACTATGAGCTGGATTTGATGGTAGTGCATTTAATTTTAGGTTGCTTGTACATACTGGGGAGCCCTGGTGGTGCAGTGGTTAAGCGTTGGACTGTGATCCACATGGTTGGCAGTTCGAAACCATCAGCAACTCAGAGAGACAAAGACTAGGCTTTCTACTTCCGTAAATAATTGCAGTCTTGGAAACCCACCAGGGGATCGCTATGAGTCAGTAGGGACTTGACTCAGCAAGTTGGGAGTATTTTTGGCATATATACTGGAATAATTGGATTTAGATTGATAGGGCAAGAAGGGCAAAGAAATCAATGGTAAAAATGGTGATGGGCAGTAAACCTTGAAGAAAGAAAAGTTATGAATATAATAACAAAGTGGTGAGGTAAACAGATTGGAGAATTTTTTACAGTAAAAGTGCTGGAGAGGTTATAAAAATAGAGCTAGACAGGAGGAAGCCATAGGGAAATTGAGATTTAGGAGATAATTATTGGTATTAAAGGAATGATTGTAGGGAGTGAATGATTGACACGAAGTAGAGTTAAAGATCATTGGGAGCTGGAAAATTAACAAATTGAGAAGCCTAGAATACTGCATTGTTTTTTGTTTTTGTTTTTAATATACAGTAAGATAGAAATAATGCTAGAAAGAAAAGTAGTGGAATGATACTTATCAATGCATGAGCAAGAGTGACCAGGGATTTGCTTGGTGCCAACCACAAGTGGTTCATTCACTCTTAATTAAAAAACAAAAAATTTCAAGGCATGAGCTTCAAAAGATTCATAGATTATAAAGGAAAAGGAAAGAATTAGCACTAGCCCCACACATTTTGATGCCTCAAATGCTAGAACTGCTCTGGGTCTATTTGACCTGCTGATTCCACAAATGGCACGTTTCCCCTATGAGCATATGCCATAGACTCGTCACTCTGTTCATGCATAAAAGTTCAGGATATTTTATTGTAGTCTTAGCTAGACTGAGTTAGAGAAAGTTAATGCTGACTTTATTTAAAGCAGTTTGTGTTGCACTAAATACTTAAGGTCAATTGATCGAATGAAATTTGAACAGTGCAAATTACGTGAACTTGGAATTGTCCCCAAGTCTCATTTCACCTTTATTAGGACCTGAATAGCAGGCAGTTCCAAATTATTATCTTAAAAGGGGGCCAGAAATAAGAGTTACTGTACAACAAGTAAGGAGCCCTGATGGCATAGTGGGTTAGGTGTTTGACTGCTAACCACTGGGTCAGCTAGCCGAGGGCACCAGTTCCTCTGGAGGAGAAAGGTGATAACTGTCTGCTGCCATAAAGATGTACAGCCTCAGAAACTCACAGGAAAAGTTTCACTCTGTCCTGTGAGTTGAAATCAGCTGACTGACCAGTAGTGAGTGGGGCACAATAAATGTGATAGCCACATGTTCTGAAGCCACATGAGTGTAGCGACTCCTTTATGAAAGGTTCAGACACCTTTATTAAAATGGCAATGCTCCGTCTTAGACTCGTTTATTAAAATGAAAATGTTCCAGTCTTGTTATCAGATGGCACAACTTCTCTATCTGTGCACAAAAACACTTAAAAAGAAAAGTTAGAACTTCCTTAAAAAGAAGCTTGGAGTCAACCTCATCTTTAAAACAATTAAAATATTTAACCATTTATTTCTATATATTAAAATGTGTTCTGAAATATTTACTACATAATTTGAAGGAAATATTAGGTCTCCAGAATATTTAAGAAAATTGTTATCGTCTTTCATTTTCAACGCTCTAAATTGTCCTCCATTGTGCACTTTCCATTATATGTGCTCTCTCAATTGTTTCAAAAATTTCCTCTCTTCTCAAGCTGTGTCTGGCTTTGCAGTATCCAACTTGTAGTCTCTGTATATACTGCACAGCCTGCCACACCGTAAAGGAAAGCCCACTGCCATCTAATAGATTCTAACTCGCAGTGACCCTATAAAACAAGGAAGAGCTGACCCTTCAGGTTTCCAACCCTTTAAATATATTAATGGCTTCAGAGTGAATAGTAAGTTCGAACCACAGATTTTATGATGTGTAACCCACTCGCCACCATGAGTCCATATACAGCTTCCCTTGGAAATCCCTTAATACTTAATTCTTTTCCAAACTATTTCATACCTTTTTGTCTTACTCTGTAATTTGTTCTCATTTTTAAAACCAGGATTAAAATTAGTAAAATTTAATAGCTGAAAATATAGTAGAACACCACATCAAAGAAACTAGGGCTGATGTTGTCCGTCTAATGAAATTATCTGAATCAGCACCCAAATAACCAGAGGAGTGGGCCTAACTACCAAGGCGTCAGGAAAAATAAGACTGAGTGGTCTGACTGAAGCAGAAAGGACATTTAGGGGGTTGAAGTATAGGGAATTTAATACCTAAGTTTGAAAACAAAGGGAAAATTGGTCTCCATTTGAGAGCATCTCAGGTAGCAAATTTTAGTTAGAGAAGAGTATTCAAAGAATTTGAGGACCGTAGAATTTTCTGATCCATCCTGTGTAGTGAATTTCAATGGGTGTAATAGAGAAATTTGGGAGGGAAGAGATAAAGTTACATTAATAGATGTACTTAGTTCTTTAGGGAAGCACTGGTTCTCAATCTTCTTAATGCCACGACCCTTTAATACAGTTCCTTATGTGTGGTGACCCCCAACCGTAAAATTATTTTCATTACTACTTCGTAACTAATTTTGCTACCGTTATGAATCTGGTGACGCCTGTGAAAGGGTTGTTCAATCCACAAAGGGGCCGTGACCTACCAGTTGAGAAACGCTGGTGTAGAGTGTGACTTAGGTTTCTGATGGGTCACAGTTTTATGCTGAATGACGAGGGATCACTAAACAGTTGTTTCTTTCTCTGGTCTGCCTTGTGCAGTGGCATGCTCCCTAGAATGCAGCTCTTATCAGAGCCCTTGGTCCTACAAGCTACAGTAAGGACTCTGCAGCCTGGTGGCAAACTAGGAGAGAGAAGACTAGAACCGTTTCCTGTTTTTTGATCTGGCACTGTTAAAAGCGGACTTCATGTATTTTCAAGTATTCATATTTTTTATTAAAACAACTGTTTTTGTTTTCAATTGTCTAGGTCACTTTTACAAAGAGAAAGTTTGGATTAATGAAGAAAGCGTACGAGCTTAGTGTGCTCTGTGACTGTGAAATAGCGCTCATCATTTTCAACAGCTCTAACAAACTGTTTCAGTATGCCAGCACTGACATGGACAAAGTTCTTCTCAAGTATACGGAGTACAACGAGCCTCATGAAAGCAGAACCAACTCGGACATTGTTGAGGTAACACGTATATCTAGTAATGCTTGAGTTACACATGGCGTATTCCATTTAGTACCTTTAGCCCTTAGATTTGCTTTTCGTGTTCAGCAGTAAACCACTTATAGATAGATCTGTCTTGGGAATCATTTCTTAGAAGCAGGATCTAATTGCTGATGCTAGACATTTCATATTTATTCATACAAAATAAACTTGCTGGGTTTCCCGTATGCACCACAATTATCTTAACATTTGCTATATAATTAAGTATTTTGCATGAGTTTTAAAGCTAGTATTAGAAGGAATTAAGTTACTTTAAGACCATTTTAATATGTCTTAGTTATTTTATTATGGCAGTGACTACCTGCAATTTTAAACACAATTAAATGGAGGAAAAAGATAAATATCATTTTCTATTTTGTTAATACTGCATTTTATGATGGAAGAGGTGTTTTCTTTTTTTATTCAGCTGTCCATTTTTTACTTCTCAGCATTCTGCCAACTGATTAATGAAAATAAGGATAAGGACTTTTTTTAAATCTATTTGAAAATAGTATTTTAAAAAAAGAAAATAGTATTTTAAAACAAAACCTTTAAAATGGAGAACTAATTACACTTTCCCTTTCACTCTTTTCTGTTGCAATATGTAAAACATATCTTTCCCATGTAGCTTTCTTTAAATTAACTGTATATTTACTTTTTGTTAATTAATCCTTTTATAGAGAATGCATACAGATATCATAACAATCCATATTTCAATTAGGTCCAGCATAATTGTATATTTGCTACCACAGTCAATTTCCAAACATTTTCTTTCTTCTTGAACTCCTTGATATCAGCTCCCCCTTATCTCCTTCTCCCTCCCTCCTCTACACACATAACATACACCTTTACGCTTTCAGTGTGGCCCCCTTGTGAACAAACCCCAAGCAGTTCAGATTCGGTGCCAAGCGCTGCTCCCTGAGTCAGAAGTCTACAATCTTGATCCCTTCGTGGGATCACTTCGTGGCTTTGCTCTCATTGCTGGTCTGTTGCACTTCCTTCTTGGTTTGCCCCACTGTAGGCGGGTCATACAAACTGCTCTCCCTAAACCGTGTCTTCAGGGCTGTCCTCTGTAGCACTGTCACCTGGGGGGGGACATGATGTCGCAGGTTGAAGTCAGTCCCAGCAGCTCTCTCTGAACGCACTGCTTGGAGCAAGAACATTGCCCTCAGGATTGGTGCACTGAGGTGGTTTGCTCTTTCTCTCCCTTTCCTGTGGAGACATAAACAATACCCTTCTCTTGGGTGGATTAGTGCCCTGGTCCCCCATTTCTGCTTTTTTTTTTTTTTCCAGCACAGGTGCTATCAGCATTCTTTGGCTCATGCCAGACTATATGCCAGACTCATGAATTACGTGTTAAGTGCATTTTCTCTTGTGCCCATTCTGCTGTTTCAACTTACCTCAGTGGACTCATGCTGTACTTGACCTTTTGTGCTTGGCTAGTTTCACTCAGCATGATATCCTTCAACTCTTTCCACAAAATGGGTTGTTTTATCACTATTTTTAAAGGATGTGTAGTATTCCATTGTATGTATATACCAGAATTTTTTAATCCATTGATGGAACTTTAGGCTGTTTCTAACTTATTGTGATTGTCAACATTGGAGAGAAGATACCTGGTTGTGGTCTGTGTATTTCTTCTGGGTATATGCCCAGTAGTGGAATTGCTTGGTCGTAAAGTAACTCGATTTCCATCTGTTTTAGGTATGACCAGATCACTTTCCACAGTCGCTGTATGTAACTATAAGACCGTCAGCAGTGAATGAGTGTTTTTATCTCACCATAAGCTCTTCAACATTTGTTGCTTTTCTATTTTTAATTGTGGTATTTTTTTGTGGGTATTAGGTTGTGTTTATTTGCATTTCCTCCGAGATGGCTAATGATAAGGAATATTTTCTCATGTTTATTGGCCATTTGAGTTTCCTCCTTTGTGAAGCTTCTGCTCAAGGCTATTTATTGCCCACCTCCTCAGTGGGCTATTCATTTTTTTTCCTTTGGTGAGTTTACAGGATTCTGTAGATTTTAGTAATAAGCCCTTTGTCTGATATATAATTACGAACTGTCTTTTCCCAGTGTGTGGGCTCTCATTACTCTCTTGATAATGTCTTTTGTGTTTTCCTTTAGTATATCCTTCTTGTCTATTTTGTCTTCCTCTGGATGTGTATCCTTCCTTATTTCTGATAGTCCGTGTGCTCCCTGTGCAAAAGTTATTAACTTTGTCCATTTTCTCACTGATCCTGATGGTTTGGGGTTTTACCTCAAGGTATGTGTATGGAGTGACGTAAAGTTCTCGCTTCCTTCTTCTGCAGGTTGATACCCAGTTTTTCTAACACCAATTGTTAAAAAGGACATTCACTTCCCATTTGATATTTGGGGGGCATTTATCAAATATAAATCGACTGTCTACTGCTGTTTTTATTTCTGGAATTTCTGTTCTTATCTATTGGTCCAAGTATCTCTCATTATACTAGTACCATGCTGTTTTGACAACTGTGGCTGTATAATGTTTTGCAGCCAGGTAGTTCAAGCCTGCCTATTTTATTATTGGTCTGTAGATTTCTTTGCCAATTCTGGGCTGCTTTCCTTTCATATGAAGTTGTTAGTCAGATTTTCCATTTTCTTTGAAGAAAGATGCTGGTATTTGTTTTGGGATTGTATTGAACTTATATTGTGCCATAGTTAGAACTGACATTTTACAATGTTGGGTTTCTGGTCCACAAGCACGGGATATGCTTCCATTTGTGAAGGTCCCTTTTGGTTTCTTGTAATAATGTTTTGTAGTTTCTTGAACAGACCTTTTAGGGTTTGTTTGTTTTGTTTTTTTGCTAAGTATATCCCTAGATATTTTAATTTTTTGCTGTTGGGGGAAGAGTTCTGAATATATCTCTCATGTCGAGTTGTCTGATTGTAGTTTAGTTCTGGAACTTCCTTGTTGAACTTCTTTTCAACTCATCTGGGTCTACTGATCGCTTACGCATTATATAGTGCCTATCTTTATCTCTTGTCATATCCTGCACCTTGAGATTTATTTTGTCAGAGATTAGGATTGCTTCTCTTGCTTTTTCAAAATTGCCATTCGCTTGGAATGCTTTTTGCCAGCCTTTGATCCTCAGTTTTTTGTGGTTTTTTTTGGTGAGCTTGCAATGTATTTCTTACAGACAACAGATTGATGGGTTTTGTTTCCTAATCCAGTCTGCTAGCCTATGTCTTTCAATGGATAATTCAGACCATTGATGTTCAGAGTTATTTCCTCAGTCTGTGGATTCTTTGCTGTTATCATGTACCCTTTGTGTTAGGTGTTTTCCTACCTCCCTCCTTAGTAGTGTGTTGTGGATGTGCGTTCTTGCCTTCTTTTCACTGTTGAGTCAATAACTTCTTGGGCATCTCTTTTGGTGTGTTGACTTCTGGATAGTGTTATGCCATATGTTGGTCTCATGTTTGTGCTTTGTTGATGTTGGTCTTCTGTCCAAAATGAATTGGAAAGAATTTTTTGTAGTGCTAAGTTTTTTGTTTTTAAGAATTCTCTAAATTTTGCCTTGTCTGGGAAAACCCTTACCTCTATTTTTCACAGGATAGTTTGCCAGGATAGAGGATTCTTGGGTGACTGTTATTCTCCTTCAGCTTTCGCAAGATGCTGCTCCACGCTTTCCTCTTCTTCATAGTTTGTGCTCATAAGTCTAAGAATATTCTTATCTGATTACCTTTATAGGTGACTGCGTTTTTTTCTCTAGCTCTCCTTATGATTTTCTCCTGTTCTTCAAAGTTGGATAATTTGACTACTATATGTTTTGGTGTGTTCTTCTTGGAGTTCAGTCTCATTGGTGTCCTCTCTGCTTCCTCGATGATTGTCTGATTCTCCTTGATTAAATTGGGTTAGTTTTCTTCCAGGAATTCCCTCACTTAGGGGTTGTTGATGTGGGTTGTTGTCTGCATGTCATTTTGATGGGGCGTGGTGCCATTCTCCCTGTTGTCCAGGAACCCTGTGTTTACTCTCTTGGGACCTAGTAAAAATTATTCTAAGGACTACCTGGAGCCTTCTGTCCTGTGGGATCGAGCTGTCTCTCTATCTCACTGGAGTTTACTCACTTCTTAGAAAGCTGGAATTACCTATTTAGGGGGAAGCTCAGGTGGCCCTCTTATGCAGCATGGGCAAGCTGATTGCACGGGGTTCTTGCTGCTCTGCCAGGGAACTGTGGGGTACTGTGGCACCCAGGGTCCACGGAGCACCGTGGTGCCTAGGGTCTGCACAGCGCTTTGGCTCCTGGGGCCCACAGGGTGCTATAGCTCCCAGGATCCGAGAGGTGCTGTGTATATTTATTTCTATCTTTTTGTTTATATTAAGAAGCTTTCTCTTGTTTTTATTCAGGGAGGGGCTATTTTCTATTACTCATATACATGTATCCTTTGTCTTAGTGTTGAAATGCTAAAAAATTCATTTGAATAAGCTAGGCACTTCCTTGTAGAAAGTGCTCAAGATTATGTGATGACAATATAAAAGTAACTATTAAAGAGTTCTATTCTAATAATTGAGATTAAAACAGGAAAAGAAAAACTTTTATTATTTTATTGTGTAGAAATCTGATTTATTTGCTTCCACAGATTATGGTTATACTTCTAAGAATACATTTTAAATTTCACTGATATCTTTTCTTTTGAACCATGATTGACTTAGGTTGTTATTAAAAGAAATTCTGCTACTTGTATTTTATAAAGTTGCATTAGTTGGATTTTTGCTAAGTGATTTTATTGCTTTTTCATAATTTGTGAACGTTTGCAAATGAGCTGAGGCTTATTCCTATTGCCTTAGTTGTCCACAGTTCTATTTAAAGTAATCTGTGCTATGAACCCACCCTGAAATGTATATGATACTTTTGATTTTACATTTGTTGATCACTTCTTTTAATGATAGGAGACCTGGTAGTGTAATTGGTTAAGCTTTGTACTGCTAACTGAAAGGTTTGCAGTTCAAACCCATCAGCTGC